TTTTTTTTAAAAAAAAAAAAAAAAAAAAAAAAAAAAAAAAAAAAAAAAAATCCCAGTGTAATCCCACAAGTGAGGTTCGGGGAAAATAATGCGTACCCCTACCTTGTGAAAGTAAAGAGATTATTCCCGATAGACCCTCGGTTCAGGAAAAGTATAATCACATCATTGTTAAAAAGAAATACTTTAAAATAATAAGATGACCGAATCCAAACACAAGAAGCATTAACAAGAAGCAGTGACATGGAAAGAAAGCAGTAACAAGAAGTAGTAACAACAGTAACAACAACAACAAAATAATAGGATGACCGATGCAAAAGACATAACCGGTAGTAATAGAAATCAAGGTATATAAGAGTACGAAGATAGGTAAGAACAAGAAAAACGCTCGACCACCTACTAGACTTCTACCCTAGTTCTCGACTTATACATCTTCCTATCAAGGGTCATGTCCTTGGTAAGCTGCAGATGTGTCATGTCCTGCCTTATCACCTCTCCCCAATTCTTCGTTGGCCTACCTCTACCTCTACCTCTACCATGGTTAACCTCTCACACCTTCTCAATGGGGCATTTGGAAATCTCCTCTTTACATGCCCGAACCATCTCAGCCTCGCTTTTCGCAGCTTGTCCACCATTGGGGCCACTCCTACCTTGTCTCGAATATCTTATTCCTAATCTTATCTCTCCTAGTATGCCCATACATCTATCTCAGCATCCTCATTTCTGCTACTTTCAACCTCTGAACATGAGAGCTCTTGACCATACAACATAGTCGGCTTAACGACCACTCTATAGAACTTGCCTTTAAGACTTGGTGGCACATTCTTATCACACAAGATCTATGTCGTGGAAAGTTCAGCTGCGAGCCACAAGTTCTCCAATTAATTTGAAGAAAATTCCGAACATTATAATGACTAGGTAACTCTGCATCCTCTTCGGACCAGTTTAAATGAGGGTCATTGTCTGAATATGCCTAGAGCTAACCTCCCCCATTTCTTTACTAATTACTTCCCCTTCAACTACCGCTATGCCACCCAAACAAAAGAAAATCAGAGTTGCTCTTTCGTATCATTATTCCATTAACATAAACAGTTGATACCTGATACACAGCTTCAACAACGATATAGCGCCTAAGCTTCTTAGCTTGTTTGTTTTCTTGGGTTACTTTCTCCAAAGTACTTCGCAACGACTCCATATTGTTATGCTTAAAGTATATGATGGTACTTCTAGAGAGCTGAAGGCCATTCTGGATTCCCCAGTGGACACCTTCATCCCTACAGGAGCAAAGAAAGATCGCAGGAACAATGTCAATAATAGTGAGATTTGATGACAGTTGGCAGTCTTGGGGTTATTTATTATGATAATTAGAACTGATACTAGCAAAGGGGAAACCAAATTTTTTGACACAGCTAAAATTAAGTTCAAGGGGGTATTGCATACATTTTTGAACTGAGGGGTATTAGGTGTCACAACCTAAAAAGTAAATAACTGAGAGGAGGGAAAGTGTATTACCACAACCTCCTTTCCCCACTCCCTCTCCTAAAAGAAAAAGGGAACAGAAAAATAACTTGCTAAGCAATTTTTAAGGAGTCCACGAGCTAATCTACATATGCATAACATGGTAAGTGCATTAGTAAAGAGCTTTACAAGCTAAAACCAATGCTGTAGCTGAACAGTGAATAGACTCAACGAATCAATTATGTTTGTAATTAATTGATTATGCAAATTCATGAGAAAGCACTTTTTGCAAATTAAACAGTTCTCAAAGAGAAGCAAGATGAGCTGATACATTTCGAATAAGTTGAGCTACGGACAAAATGCAACATTAGTCAACATAGATGCTTTTGTGTCGGCATATAAGCAAAAAGATACTTTGGCTCTCTTTATTCATATCGCAGTGACGCATCATGTAATATCAAAGAATCAAAGTGGTTACAAGAGAAGCTTGCAAAATTCCACACTTATGTAATATAACCCTGATCTTGTATGCATAGCCCACACTTATGCCATTGGTTCTTGCAATACTTCAGCAAAATCAATGTAATTTCAACATCTTTTCACACTAAAACATTGGACTACATATGAAGCATTCAATAACAAAAGAATGTAAATACTCACGCGATAACAACATCTCCCTTTTTGCAAAAAGCTGGAATTGCACTGAACATTGTAGAAAGTCCATACGAGTAGAGTATGGAATCTGGAGTTCCCAGAAACTTCGCTATTCTAGCCTCACAATCAAGGTGGACATCTGAATGAATTATAGAATATTCAGATTGATATTTAATGAGAATGAAGAAGGAGAAGAGTGCAATAAAACCGTAGAATAGTAAGTAGATACAAATGATCAAATTATACCAATTGTGCCATAGAATCCCCGGGGACCACAAGAACCTACACCATACTTCTCTAGAGCTGAAGTACAAGTCTCCTGTCATTCAACGTTAGGTGTGAATTTTCTGTTCTACTAAAGAACTAAAACAAAATCCCTGTTAAATAAGTAATGAAGAAAACCTTACTAGTAATTCTTTGCTTCCTAATAATCCAAGGTAATTCGCCGAAGTGAAGTTCACTACGTCTTTCCCATTAACTATAGTATGAGGCCCTGCAGCACTGAACAAACACAAGGTATGAGAAGCAATACATCAAGCTATTCATTCCTAAAAGTTTGATAACTTTAGCATCTGAATCATGAACTTGAACAATAGGCAGAACGAAAGCTCTTCTAACAATAAATGTGGCTTCAATGCAGCTTAGTAACATGCGTATCAGCTCAAAACGTAAAGACGCTGTTTACAACTTGTAGCATATCTGAGCCGTCGTACTAAGTCTGTACATAAAACCTCCAAAAACTAGCACTATTATTTTTGGCATTTTAGTCTGACATGCTAAATGTATATGATATTGATACCATGTTGGAGTTCCTTGGTTCCCTATATTTGAAGAGGCAGCTAAGCTTTTGCAAAGCATATTCAGCACCATCTCAATGCTGTTTCATGAATAAAATAACCTTTACGTATAAAAAAAATAGTTGAATCTAGAAAGCAAGAGCGCAGCATAACAGTTTTAATGGCTTGTATCCTTAGATAGACATCTAATAATCATTTAATACAAGAATAAAACCCAAGCAAATACTAAACTGGTTCTCCAAATGTAATCTACTTTAAAAAAGATGTAAAGCTGGGGAGAGCGGTGCAACAGCAAAAATATCATTACAGAGAATGCAAAACATTTATAAAGTTGCATTTTCTGTCATATACATCTGGTAGAAATTTCTAATTCTCTGAATGCATACAGTTGAATAAAAGAAAGAGTAACCTGACTGAAATCATCTGAATAAAATGCAATTTTTCTTATAAAGCCGAACAAAACACAAGTATCAGACTGTCTAAAAGAAGGAAAAGAGAAACAGCTTTTCCACCTTTCCAAAACCGGAGGTTCATGTTTCATCTCATCAGTGATGGAAGGGATAAGTGGTTCTGGGGCCCATTCTTCACATAACTCATCAATTTCCTGAAAATAGTAAAGGCATTCATCACCTTGATTGAAGTTTGCAGGAATTCTGTTCTGGCAATTTTATTTTGCTTTCATTAGGGACAAGAGGTGCGAGCCAGGGACCGGGGGCACTGCATGATTCTCTTGACGGTCATTTTGATGAATATGGAATACATTTTTAAAGAGCTTTTCATGTGAAGCACACAAAACTGGAAAAGGGTGGTGAAACAAAATTGGAAGGACTCCTTATTTTGATGGGTAAATTAAAAGGACTCCATATGCATATCTTGAACATAGACTTCTGAAGCATGTGTATTCCTGTCTTGAGCCTAAATGCTACGTGATATTTAACTGCAAAAAGTTTACCAGCAACACGCATTGAAGCTACTATAGACAGCTAGACATAAGGTAGTTATTTTTTAACAACGACGTAGACATAATATTCACATAGCCATTGACATTTGAAAACGCAGATCTCTGACAAACCTTCTTTGTCAATGGTCTTTTAGGTGGTTTGTAACTCTTCTGAGACATTAGAAAGACAATGACCACCAGGAGAAGACCTTCCACAAATAGATGTCCTACAGGAAAAACAGTAAAACATTATCCAATGCTCAATACAAAGTCTAAAAACAAATAGGTGATTACCATCCTAAGAATGAAGAGACTACCTCCAATGTTAACCTCAAATATCACAGCTCTTGCGAATGGAACCTCAAAGGCTGATGTCACCCAATCAGATGTAACTCTCACCATATTTGTCAGTACAGAAACTGCTGAATCCATTATCTAAACTTGGAAAATACAGACCATGGTGACAAACGTACCCACATAAAAAAGAATTTGTTTTAGGATGGTTTATTACTACATTCCCTCCACTCTGTAATGCTCAAGAGATGTGAGTCAGAACCAAAAGAACAAGTTAATGATGCGGATGATTTAAAGAAAGAGATACTCTTAGGAAGAGGAATTTAAATAGTATAGCACCACGAATATATAGCACGAATTATAACAACAATTTTCATTTATACAGTGTTAACTGCTTTTATGATATACAGTTGAGATAATTTCTCCCTGTCCACCAGCAATTTTGCTCTTAGAGAGTTTATACTGATGTCCACTTGAGTATTTCATGAATTTAGAACCCAGCGAGCATGTCATATCGAAGATGACCATGCAAATGGTAATTTCACAAGATAACTACACTTTATCATTCAAATATTGAGGTATTCACAATATCTTAATTTGTATTCTTTCAACTTGTTATACGTAGAGAATAGGACATCTCTTATTCCAATGGTTTACATTTTTTTCATACATCAAGTGCATTTAATTCCCTAGGTAATTATGCAAGTTTTGGTATTATTCCATGCGCAAAACAAGGAAACAATAAAGCATAACCAAATCAGCCAGGTTGGGCCACTGCCCATTCACTAAATAAGCTGATAATCTACGTGCTCACATAACAAAGAAGCAAATTCATTCCACACAAGCAGCATGAAGATTGATAGGCAATAATCCTCCAGTCATTTTCAAATTCTACTTATGGAGAAAAAGAAAGCACCAAAACAAAAGGAAGTTGGGAATCTACAAATTTGATAATAATGCATTACATAAAAGTAAATCACCTAAAGTAAGCTAAGAACCAAAAATCTTAAACAAATTTGCAAGTAATGCAGATTGATTGATCCTCTTCACAGTCAGTAGACTCGCGAATTCATCTATGTAACTCATTAATGATTATGCACTATGCAGATCCTTCAATGTACATTTGATCACTTAAAAAAGATGGATAAACCTGAGATCTAAGATAGAATTAAAGGGAAACAAAGCTTCTTTTTTCTACTTAAGTTGAGAAAAAAGACATAGAAAACAAACACATGAAGGAATTCCTCAGAAGATCAAAATTAAATCTTAGTACCTATTATTTCAAGAACTCACTCTCATTTATAAATTGAACTCATATTCTAACCTGGGTGTCCAATTCCTCACTCTCTTCCTATACTTACACCAATAGAACTTAAAAAGAAAAAGAAAGATCAAAGCTTTGAAGAATTTCAGTTTTGTAAAAATCCTCACCTAAGAAGCTGACAGATGAGATCCTGCAATATTGAAAATCTCTCAAAGCAGATCCTTATAAAATTGAATTGAAAAAATTCTGCAATCAATGAAACATTAAAACCCAGAAATAAGAAAACAAGCAGGCGGCTTTATTAGTTGAAGAAGGAAAGAACCGGGAAATGTGAGGGACAGAAATCCTATGGGAGAAACGAGAAAGCTTGAACAAGGAAACGCTGGTCAAACGTTTTTGACACGTCAAAGATGGCAATTTATGTTCAGTGTGGTGCCATGGAATTTTCTTTGGCTTAAATCTTAATTCTACTTCACCACCATTCGTTTTTGGGTGCCAAAACATTTTTCCATGTTGATAAAATAAGAGATTTATAATGTAAACATAATTTATGCGTTAAATAATACTTAGAGTAATAAAGAGACTTTTATTTTATTTTATTGAGTGAATAATAATAAAGTATTCCCTTCCTTTAGAAAAGATGCACTGTTTTCTTATTAGTATATATAAAAAAAGATTTACACCTTTCAATATTTCCTTAATAGGAAGCATTTATAACATTTTTCCTTAATAGGAAGCATTTATAAGCACATAAATGTTATGACAGTTTTAAGACCACAAGTTTCAAAAGTTCTATAGTCACACAAATGATATGACTTATTTAAAACTATATATCTCGAAATGTTATAAATAGTATTTTAATTATGATGAATGTCTATATTTTAGAGAGATTTTAGGGTTTTTTACTTGATGGCTAAGTCATTTTTCCCTATAAATAGAGGGTACTATTCCATTGTAATTCGTCCCAAATCAATAAGAATTCTCTCTCTCTACTTTTCTCTATAATGCTTTTCTTCTTCTTTTATTGTTTTATAACACGTTATCAGCACGAGACTCTAACCAATTGAGTAGAAGCTTTGGGACTGCGATAATGATTGCCAATTGTTCCATGAACTTCCTTCATGATTAAATCCTGGATTTAAAGTAAGTATTTTACTTTATTTTTCTCTTTTGAATTCTTGAAATTCTATAATTTGATTTTAAATACAAGCAAAGACAATAAATTTTGATTATAACTCTAATATAGTTTGTAAGAAATTATAACCACCAAAAGTGGTAAAATTTCTATGTCTTGCCATGATCAAATTCATGTATGATTGTGAGCACAAGAGGTGGAAACCCGTCCCATTGAATTTGCTTCATTCTCAATCCCTTAAGAGAATGTGATAGCGATATGTGATTAAGAGAATGTGATAGCGATATGTGATATGTTTGAAAGAATACAAAATTATTACCATGAATGTATCAATGGATGTAGACGTGGCAATAGACGGAATTATAATCATCATCATTGGGGTTTGAGGAGGGTAGTGTGTACGCAGACCTTACCCCTACCCTGAGGTAGAGAGGCTGTTTCCAAATGACCCTCGGCATCCTTCCCTCCAAGAACTCCCCACCTTGCTCTTGGGGTGACTCGAACTCACAACCTCTTGGTTGGAAGTGGATGGTGCTTACCATCAGAGCAACCCACCTTGTCAATGAGAACAATAAGTATTCTCAAAATAATCCTTCACTATGTGAAAGTAACATTTGCCAGCAATTTGACATGAGATTTTGTAAAGCACATATAGATGATTATGGTCCATTCATGATGTGAACGTGACAACATGTGATTTATGAATACATATTTATTTTGGGAATAATATGAGCGTGCTAGTGGTATATACCACACTCACCTCTAGAAGGAGGTTTGAGAGTAAATAAGAAAATAATATCATTATTATGGCATAAATGGTCATTGGTCACGTACTAATTGTACGCCAAAATATTTTGGCAATGTGATTATTAAAAGACAATAGTAATGCAAGAAACAGATCTTGCATATAATTTTGACCATAACCATAATGGTATAACTTTCTCTTTAAAAGAGATATTCACCATATGGATGTTGATGAATATGTGATAGTACAAAATTAATTGAGAGCTCTCGAATAGCCAATTATTACTATTTTGGAGGAACAAAATTGATTACCAATAAGGCATTATGTTGTAGTAAGTCTCAAAGAAACTTATTGAGTTTTTAAAGAATTCGCAAAAGCGATTGGTTATATTGAGACTATAAATAAAGAAAATTTTTAATATCTTATATTACTACAACTTGTAGCTGATGATATGTATGTGAAAAGCTACCCGCTTTATTCTTCAGTTTGTACTACACAAATAAAAGAATGCCACAATAAAGTAGAAGTTTATTGATATAAAAACCCATATCATAATAAACTTGAAATTTATTCATAATTGTGCATGTCATGATGTAAACCTGAAGTTTACTAATACAGACAATTTTATCAAGCATGGCCTATTGAGCAATCTTGATTTAGATGCGCAAAATAAATGAGAATTAACATGGGTAAGTGTTGAAGAAGATTCTTTATGAATTCTCCTATGTTGCTTATTCTCGCGATTATTATACTAACTAAAATTGGGATTGAATCCATTGAATTATAAAATTTATCAAAGGTGAATATGGATTCATTCACCTACCATGTAAACCTTATAAAAATGCATCTATGAGATAGTTACATGTGCGATTATTATTAACCCGCAACTTGGTGTTTGTGAGGTAACTTGTTCAATAATTTAATTTAGAGCATAATTTCCAAATTTTCTATTTAAGACAGTTTATCTTGATAAGTTGGTTTACATCACAGCTGGTTTAGCAAAATGATTTATTGAGTGCCTCCACTTAATAGTTAAACTATTGCTTATGAGAACAAAGTTATCTATATTAGTTTGATATACGTTATATACGAAAGTATATTACATTCTCCCCTCACAAGTGGTTCAGGATCAGGAACCAAATAATTTCATCTTATTGTTATTGATATGCGGTGTATATTTTGATTAACACCATAATGCACAAAGATGAGTTCCCAAAGTTGAGGAAGCAAGTTAATTTTTCTAACATGAGGGGGAGACATGATAAATAGTTGAGAAAAAGTTACGTGGAATGAATTATCATTTCTATATCCAGATCCTCGAATAAGATAATATGAACTTGAAGTTCATAAAAAGATAATTCATCTGCAATATATTGCAAAGCATGCAAGACTCATTTGCTGACCCAATGAAAGTAACTATATTCTCACTGAAAATGCTCTTATTAAGTCCTAGAAGGACAAAGTCTATGGTACGCTTAAAGCACACAGACAAATCAGTTTTAATTAAACTTCTTGATAAAGAAGATGCGCAAATGATCAAAATGATCATAAAGGAGGCAAGTGATCTAGAAGATCACATGACATAAAACTTCATAAAATCTCATGAGAGATTCAGGTACCTGAATATATGAATGAAGAGATCTTTATATTATGTCTTTATGAAAAATAAGGAGGTTGGAACCGATATAAAATGTTTGCCGACGACATCTATAATAGCACTAAATATATATGAGGATCTTAAGTTTGGAGATTCAATTCAAGTAGAATTTGGTTTCATATGAAAGACATGTAGTTTTGGATATATAGTTAAAACACTCGAAAGTATAAAGTCAATGGTGTGTGCAATCACTTTATCTATCTTATATATCTAGCATGACATAAAAATTTGATATGCATCTAAAGTCCATTCATATGGCTTATATGACTATACTTATATGACCATCCCTGAAGAATTTAAATCTCTTAAAGCATATACAATTCTTGATCATGAAGTGCCACATCCTAAGTACAATTTGTGCCCATATGCATCTTACTATAATTATAAGCATGATACTATGATAGCGAGAATCTCTATGGAGATATTGAAAAAGGCCATTCCACGGTATTTTATGAAGACATTACATATCTCTCAAGAATGATGATTTTAAGGTGCAACATATTCATTCAAGTTAATATGGCTGATTTGTTTATCAAATCTCTGCCAACGATCTTTTGAAGATGGTGCACCAGATTGGAATGCGAAGGCTCAAGGATATGAATTGATACTCTCATCAAAGGGAGTTAATACGCGTTGTACTCTTTTTTCCTTACAAGATTTTATCCCACTGGTTTTTTCTTGCAAGGTTTTTAACGAGGCAACGAAAAGACGTATTTCTAAACATGTGAACTCTTTTTCCTTTTCTAGAATTTTTTTTCTCACTGGGTTTTATTTTAGTTAAGGTTTTAACGAGGCACATTATCTATTGAATAGACATTCAAAGGGGAGTGTTATAAATAGTATTTTATTTATGGTGAATGTCTATATTTTAGATAGATTTTAATTTTTTTTTACTTGGTGGCTAAGTCACTTTTTCCCTATAAATAGAGGGTTCTATTCCATCGTAATTCATCCCAAATCAATAAGAATTATCTCTCTCTACTTTTCTCTATAATGCTCTTCTTATTCTTTTTTTGTTTTATAACACGAAAGTCATTCTTTATTTATTAAAGTTTGTGTCAAGTCAAACTATGACAATCTTTTTTAAACGAAGGGAGTAAGTGTTTATGTGATTAGATAGTAGGGGTCTCAAAGGGCAACTTTAAGGGATATAGACAGGGGCGGACCTGGAGCATTGAATATTTGGGTACCCAGGAACCCAGTAACTCTTGCGTAGCCCCTATATTTATATTAAGAAATTCACTAAATATTTGAAAATATCTAACTGTGAACCCAGTTATTATTGTATATTAATTTGAGAATACGGTAAGAATTCATAAACTTCAAATCCTAGAGGATATAAAACTGTGAGGAAAGAAGCACCGATAGCAGCGGCCAAAACAACAACATTTGAACACTTATATAAAGAATTAGAGGACAAAGTGGGGAAAAGAAGTTGTATAGGCTCGCAAAGACGAGAGACGGAGAGAGGCGGGCTCGCGACCTGGACCAAATGAGGTGCATTAAATATGGTGATGGCAAAGTATTGGTGTAAGATGCATACATTAAACAAAGATGGCAGACATACTTTCATAAACTTTTAAATGTAGATGAAGACATAAATAGTGTGCTGGGTGATTTGGAGCACTATGAGAGCTATTAGAAATTTGGGTATTATACGAGTATAAAGTTTGAGAAGGTTAAGGGGAAAATTCATAAAATAAGAGGAACAAGAGTGACCAGGCCAAACGAGATTTCTGTTGAATTTTGGAAGAACGCGGGCAAATTAGGTATGGTGGCTAATTGGGTTGTTCAATGTCATTTCTAGGACGTCTAAAATTCCTAATGAATGAAGGTGGAGTACAATGATCCCGGTATAAGAACAAGGGTGATATATAAAATTGCAACAATTATAGGGGTATCAAATTACTAAGCCATACTATGTAAGTTTGGGAGAGAGTGGTAGAGATAAGGACGAAGAGGGATTCAAGAATCAATTCAGATTCATGTAGGGGCGATCAACTAAGAAAGTTATTTATCTTTTAAGGAGATTGTTGGAGCAATATAGGGATAGGAAAAAAGACTTATATATGGTGTTCATTAGCCTTAAAAAGGCATACGACAAAGTTCAAGGTTTTTTTATGGAGATGCTGGGAGTCTAGACGTGTACATGTGACATATATTAGAGCGATTAAGGACATGTATGATGGAGTCAAGACCCGAGCAAGAATATTGAGAAGATACTCTAAGTATTTCTCAATCAATATGGGATTGTATCACAGATCAATTCTTAGTCATTTTTTATTTGTCTTGGTGATAGATGAATTGATACAACATATTCTAGGGGAGGCACCAATGATGTATGTTATTTGCATATGATATAGTATTGATCGACGAGATACGCCGCGAAGTTAAATGATAGATTAAAGGTTTGGAGACAGACGCTAAAGTGTAAAGGTTTCAGGTTGAGCATGACTAAAATAGAATAAATGGAGTGTAAGTTCAATGACACATCACTTGAGGTGGATGCCAAAGTTAGGGTGGTACGCAATTCATCCCAAAAGAGGAAACTTCAAGAATTTTGGGTCAATAAGCCAAGAAAATATGGAGATCAATGATGATGTTACATATCGTATTGAAGNAAATAGAGGATCATATCTAATGTCTTATGTGATAAGAATGTGCCATCAAGACTTAAAGGTAAGTTTTATAGAGTAATTGCTAGATCAACTACGTTCTATGAGGTAGAGTGTTGGCCAGTCAAGAACTCACATGTTCAGAAGATAAAAGTAGCGTAAATGAGGATGCTTAGGTAGATGTATGGGTATACTAGGAAAGATGAGATTAGGAATGAGGATATTCAAGACAAGGTGGGAGTTATCTCCGCGGTGGATAAGATGCGGGAAGCGAGGCTGAGATATTTTGGGCATGCGAAGAGAAGGGGCACATATGCCTTAGTGAAGAGGTGCAGGAAGTTGACGTTGATAAGTTTAAGGAGAGATAGATGTAAACCGTGAAAGAATTAAGGAGAGGTGATAAGATAGGACATGTCACATCTTGAGCTCACCGAAGACATGACCCTCGATATAATGGTACATATGTTGAGGATTATGGTAGAAGATTAGTAGGTGGTCAAGCGATTTATATCTTTTCGTTAGGAGAGCATGATTCTAGTTAAGAGAATATTTTCTGCTCCTTCTTCTCCTTATTTCAATTTTATTACTATTGTTGTTTCCTCTACTTTAGTTATCTTTATTATTTTTGCTGTAAATATTTTTCTTTTGGTATTTTCATCTTACTTTTTTTACGGTGGCATTTTTCACACTTATTTTGAAGACGCTTTTCTTGAGCCAAGGGTCTATCGAAAACAAACCCCTGTACCTCACACAAGGTAATAAGTACACCCCACCTTCTCCACACCCCATATGTGAGATCACACGAGGTATATTATTGTTGTGTTTATATGATCTAGCTACCCATTAATGAAGTGAGTGAAAATCTCGAAGATAATTAAAATAAATAAAAATATAAGGTGAATCAAATTGCTAATACATATTTATTTTCCCCATAAAATAATACATAAGCTCCCGAATAAGTTATGTGAAAATTATTTCTTCTTATCCCTAAACCAAATAATGCGTTATTTTATGCAAAATTTTATACTAAGATTATTCACAATATGCTATCGGTGCTTCGCTTGATTTGATACTTGCTTAATTATCAAATCAAAGCAAATATAATATTTCTAAGTTGATTAATTTAGTTACACATTTGTTTTTAGAAGTTGATTGAACCACATCTTTGCAAACAAAGGCCTTCTTCTTATACTATGGCATCTTGTCCAAAGCGAGCGGTCATGTAAACCCTTTGTCTATTCGGCTCTTTCCTTTAATAAGAACAATCTAAATGTGACACTTTCACGACGAAATACCGGGAATTTTTGATACTAGAGTCCGCAAAGCCAGCGCAGAAGCAGCCCCCGGATCCACACAGGGNCTTTATCTCGAAAGAGATTAAGTAAGGCAAGTTTCTGACCATTAATTCTGTAACAAAGGAGCGTAGTGGCAGGCTCGCATAGCTAAAGCCTTCAAGTCCTATTATCGGAGAGGGACTTTTTCCATTATTTATCCTATTTCCGATCGGACCTTGCCCTTGCCAATTCCTTTTCTATCCCTATATTAGAATTAGCCCGACTTGCCATTAGAGTGTTCTTTCAGACGTTGAGAGGAAGGGACCCGCGGACACACCATCAGAGCTAGATTTAGCTTAGGATCGGTCAATTGCCCCAACCCCATCATCGAATGAGGTTAAGTGCGCCTTTCGGAGACTTTGATAAAGAATCCCTTCCTTCGGCGAACGGCTAGACACTTCTATAGTGGGATCTCTTGAACCGGCTATATTTTGGTAACGATGAAAAAAGTAAAAAATAAAGAGTTCACCTGCGACGAATGAAAACCCTCTCCTCTTCCACCTGCTAGGAAACTTCAAGCTTTAGCTGTACCAATCCTCTTAATCCGCCATTATACTTGAAAAATTGGTTAATGCTTTCTGCACTATAGGAATAGCATATCACACTATTTTGGAAAATTTAATCAGAATTTTTTTAAAATCGCCATTTTTGGAAAATCTGAGGTCCGTCCATCATTGGAGGAGGTCAAGATCAAACACGACTATGAGCATTTCACCTTCACTGTTTAGTTCTTCTGGCTCCCTTCTCTCCATTCTCACACTTCTTCTAACATTCACTCATGGGAACACGTAAGTGACTCCATTGCTTATGTCATCATTAATACCCAATATATCAAAATCTTGGTGCAATTTACGTTACAGTGTTGCTGATTTGAGCTTATTTTGGAATTAGATCAGTTTTTTTATTTATAATAATGAGTTTTGCAATATATTGTTTGATTTAACTTATGTAGAGTGACAGTCTGTATAAATTTAACACAATCGGTGTAAGTTAATTGGTTGGAGACATATGCCAGGTTACAAATCCATGCTCACTATGAGTAGTTACGTATAGTCTATAAGTAGAGGCCGAGCTAGTATTTTAACTTTATGGGTTATCAATTTTAGAAGCACGACTTAAGTACTAATAACTGGGTCCTAAAGTCAATATTTGTACATGTTTAATGATTTTAAAAAAACAAAAATACACTATTTGAGCAAAAAGTATTGGGTTCGGCCGATTCGTATTCGGGCTTCTATCTCCGCCCTTGGCTACAAAGATTTAAGTTGCAGGGTAAAAATTTGTATACTTTTTCCAGGTTACCACTCAATGTTGATTGTATAGAACAACAACAACAACCCAGTATAATCCCACTAGTGGGGTCTGGGGAGGGTAGTGTGTACGCAGACCTTACCCCTACCCTGGGGTAGAGAGGCTGTTTCCGATAGATACTCGGCTCCCTCCCTCCAAGAATTCCCCACCTTGCTCTTGGGTGACTCGAACTCACAACCCCTTGGTTGGAAGTGGAGGGTGCTTACCACTAGAGCAACCCACTCTTGTCCTATGCCATCCATTGCATAGAACTTAAACTTAGGCTATAATTAGCTTATGACTAACCCGATTGAGTAAATATGTATTTATTTATTTAGCTGGGCAAATGTTTCCCCTGTAGATTCCCCAGAGAACTTTTTGAGTATCATTAGCTCATTGAATCTAAGATAGCATATCTGTAATTAGCTAACTGGTTGTCTTTTTCTTTTTGATACTACTATGTAGCCTTTGCTTTTTGATGCTACTATCAACTATATAGACTTTGCTTCTACTGGTAAATTTTGCATCTTCTTGATGCCATCAATGAAGTCAATTGCTTCACCTAAAAAATATGCATACACCGACATTGTGTAAAAGTTAAACTTCTTAATGTTATAGGATGGATATAAAAGTTCTGCAAGTCGGACAGGAGCTAATGAAGGAAACTCTTCCATTACAGTCCGGATCTAGACTATATGAACTGCAAGGGTTGAATTCGAATAAGTGGTATGAAGTGAAGATCTCATATCCTGCTTCTGTATGTACATTTGCATTCTTGCCTACCAGTTTTGTATACCCTATTGATATTTAAAGCTTAAACCTTTTGCTATTGAACGTATAACAGATACCAGCGACTTTTACTTTACAACTAAGTAAAGGAAGTTCGGGGCTAAATGGTGGTAGGAAGTTACTGAATACTGAAAAGATTATTTTTCAAGCTGACAGTATTCAATTTCTTGGCGACAAGGTTGGTTATGTCAGCATGATATGTAGTGATTTGTTGTCTATTCTTCTACTCATTTTTACGTCTGTAAAGGCACTGATAATGGAATTTGGCACAGGGCGGAACATCTGTCCTGGTAAATGTTGAGCCTGAGGGAATTGTTGCAATACCTGGGGTAAAGGAGAGGAAGTACGTGATATATAATATAGGTAAAATTTTCCCCTTAATTTAGATAGTTCAAAGTTCCATTCAACATTATTTAATCATCTTCTCACATTCCAATATGGTAATTGTGCATGAAACTGTCATCACTTATATATCGAATTGGCAATGCTATATTTTGAAACGCACCTTAACCTCCTTTTTCTCCCAAAAAAAAGGTGGAAAAGAATGAAGAACATTCACCTATGACTTGTGTTTTTGAGTGCCATAGAAAAAGAAAAAGGAAAGGGAAAGGGAAATGCAATAACGGAAGGCTACCTATTGAAAAATTGAAAATCACAAAATTAAAGGCGTATTGACATAGTGCTCTTTGATCTAGGAAGCACATTTATGTGAAATAGAAGAAAGGTTAAAGCATGCAATTGAAATTTATTTAGGCTATGAGTCAGCTATATCAATATAAGGGGACAAAAACAACAACTACACCTCAATCCCAAGCAAGTCGTCGGCTTTATTGATCCTCACTGCCCATATCGTTCCATTTAAGCCTGAGTCAATATACCAAGTTGTGATATAAAATTTATATTATCTGTACCAAGTGTCAAGTGGACCCATTAGATTAAAGGAATCCCTAAAAGCTGTTGCAAAAGATTGTCAAAGGGAAGAACATAGAGTATGCAAGTTCTCTTGCAATGATCTGGTGATTTATTTATTATATCTCCTATTAGAAGAAGCTAGAATTTTGATAGGTGTTATAAAGATTTTCGTCGTTACTTGTCACTTGAAGAAGAGAAAGAAATGTAATTTTGTGCAATGAATATATAATATGGGAAAAGACAAAGGAATATCGTGTGCATGTTTAATTCCTCGGCTGGAGATGCTAAAATTATCTAGTTTAGTGGAGTTTCTATGATATGGGATGAGAGTTTATTATGACGAGAATATATGAGCCATGATCTACAAAACTCTGAGAACTGCTCTAGCCAGTGGCTATTGCACCCATTGTTGAGCAGCAAACTCCTTTCGATAGATGTGTTGGTCTTGGGAGGTTAAATTTTAGCAGGAATTTAATTATGCTCTCTTCAGAAGGGAGGATGGCAAGATACAATTTAGTATAGACGTATATAGTTGGCTCAACTTAGCCCCTGTAAATTGCCCGATTAATCTTTTGGATTTTGTCAGCTCCCTAGCCTTGGCTTAGCTTTCTTCTGTAGTGGAGCTGATTTTATTATTGTGTAGTTTTACTCTTTTGTGGAAGCATCCACTAATGTATGCATTAGGTTAGGCTGTCTACATCATACCCCTTGGGGTGCGGCCCTTCCCCGGACCTGCGTGAACGCGGGATGCCTTAGTGCACCGGGCTGCTTTTTTTTTTTTAAATGCCTTCGATGAAATTTCCCTTACCTCATTTAAAAAAAATATCATTATGGATCTTTATAAAGTTGATCAGTTAAAATCCTATTGTAACAAATTACACCTCAAACATATTTCACGTTAAGATGCCTTAAAAGCAGTTTTCTAATAATGGAGTCATAGAAATGTAGATATATCTAATCTGAAGGAGTAACAATAGGAAAAGCTAAATACAGGTTGATGTTTCTTAACCACATAGTATTGCATAGCCAAGTTGGTTAAAGTTTAGAGCTTTAGTCTTCTTGGCAGATTTCACACCAATCTTCTGCTTGTGACCTATTTGTCGAAGATTAGCAAGGGAAAAAAGGAAGCCAATTTCCTTACACTTCTGGCAGTTTAAGGAGACCAGATTGGCATTTTAGAGATTGACTGTTAGCTCTTATAAGCAGAAATAAGGTTTCTGGGTTCCTAATTAAAATCTGAAGTAAAGCTTGAAATAGAACTAAAGAAAGCAACGGGTGATTCAACAGAGTCTATGCTAAAGCATTATAGGCCTCTAGTTCTCTTGACACTTTCATTATGGTAGTAGCTTAATCCAAATAATTGTTATGCACAGAGTTATTTACCTCGGGTACATTGTTTACTCATAGGAATCTTTCCATTGCCTAATTGCCTATTCTAAGTCTTCACTATATAAGGCGAGCAGGTATATTTCTATCCTGCTGACAAATCAATTCTGTAATGCTTGGGTCATGAACATACACTATTAAATCGAAAGCAATTCTAAATTTCCTCTTTCGAGTTCAACCTAAGGTTCTTATTAACTTATATGGTGCCTAATTGTTGGCCCGGGAACCAGACAAAAAAACTCTATAAAAGCATGCTTAAAGGTGGCAACCTAACTTAAGCAATGTCTTACTAATATCATGTGCATTTCCTTGGCAGTATGTGATGAGCTACTCTTTGGTATCCCTCACCAAGCATGGTATGTGGTAGTGTTGGTGGTGCTCTGCTTGGCACTAGCACTTGTAATCCCCTCTTTCCTTCCGCCATATCTTCTACCAAGGAATCAAGGGTTAAGTGCAGCTGGTCGTGGTATGTCGAAGGACTCTTAACCATGTTCTGGTATTTGGCACCAGTTGGCAATGGGTAGAGTGGGTCTTGAAGCTCAAAGTATTAGAAAATTTTTCTAACCTTTGTAAGCTAGTTTTCTTAATTGCAAATGATTAAGATATGCATGGTTACTCAATGGAATCCTTCACCCCCTCTCTTTCTCACTGTGTTCTATTTTTCCTTCTCTTGACTGTAAACGTGGATTTTGTTTTGTTCTATCATTTACTTGCTTAAACAAAGTCTCAACTTGCAAAGATTTCATGTGCCCCTTGTTATTAGCTGAAAAGAGTTAACCTTGTTTCAGAATGAGGGGAGGCATCAAGATACATGTGATGCGCCTCACTCCTTTCTCATTGATATCTTTCTTTAAGTAGAACCTGGAATGTTTTTTATTTTATTTTATTTCGAACAGCAATAGTATGTATTCCTTATTTCTGCATTGGAGTTAATTTTTCTTTATTTCCCTGTTTTGCTTCCTACTTGGCATTTCTTCCCTTTCTTTTTTGGTTTTGTAATAATTGTGTTTTGGTTTTGTTTTAACTTGTATTTTATTAAGAGAAGCATTATGCGTTACTTTCACTTTCTCCATCTTTTCCTTCTCCTCCTTGCCAAATGTTTGATCTTGAATGCTCATAAAACCAAAGGCTCATGCCAATCTGTCCCCTTCCCCCCTCACACATACCACCATCCCCTGCACACTTTATCTACACCCCCTCATGTCTCATGTCTCACACCACCCAAGAAGATGATGCCAACTGTACTTCCATGTGTCTTATGGGTCCCACTTTATCACAAAAATACTATATAATGCAAATCTCTCCTAATCCTTTGCATTCATTCTCAATTCTCTTTAAAGATATTATAGCAACTCCTTTTAGAAATTTTAGTCATGTCTGATCAGCAGAAAGAACTGCATAGATCAACTCCAAGTTATGAATCCTTGAGGTTCATGGCAGCAGGAACACTTGGTGCTGCTTTGTTAGGTTTGTCCAGTCTGACCTTTGCAGGGACAGTTATATTTCTGATCCTTGTCACCCCATTACTTATCATGGCCAGCCCAATTCTTGTCCCGGCTGTGATAATTCATGTCCTGATCAGCGCCGGTTTCTTGTTCTCTGGCGGGTCAGGCATAGGGGCATTAGCTGCGATGTTCTGGACGTATAGAAACGTCGGTGGGAAAAACCTGTTTGGGGCAGACCAACTTGACTTTGCTAGGATGAAGATTGCGAGCAAAGCTTGGGGTATGAAGGAAAGAGCTAAAGAGGGTGGACAATCTGTGCAGAACAAGGCTCAAGAGACTACTCAAGCCTAATAATATGGAGTGAGAATATCAGTTATCAAGTGCAATTTGTGTTACCTTATCTTAGACTTTCTGATTATCCTAATAAAGGGGGAAAAATAAAAAAGAAAAGAGGGGAGGGATGGGAGAGTTGTCTGTCTTATTCCTACTGATCTTGGCATAGCTTTGTCTCAATTAGGGTCAAGCGTTGATGTCACAAATAAGTTTGTATTGTTCCTATCTGACATATGAATCAAAATAATGGCCTTTTATTCTCTAAATCTGCTGAGTAAATGATGTGGTCGGTATGTTAAAAACTAAACAAAGTTGCTCGTCCATTCAAACTCTTTCATCTACGAAGTTAAGGTGGGGAAAAGAATCATACTTTCAACCTTGTAATAAGCTGAAACGGATCCATTTGTGTGTCTAATTCTTTGGCCATTTCTTCATCTGGTCAATATTTAGACCCGTATATAAGTAAATATTATTTTATTTCTTAAAACTAAAGTTAACCGTACAAAGGAATGTGAAAAGAAAGCAAGATTTTGCACCAGGTAGCCCTTTTAATTACTAGTATATAAGTTAATTATTTTTCAGTTTCCTCACATTTTAAAAAGGTTTGTAGATATAAGATCAAAGGAAGTTATGTCAAAACGAGGCATAACTTGTTCAAAGTTATGCTCGCCCGGCATAATTTTGGGCAAGCAAGTTATGTCCCACCAATTTACTTTTGCAAAACTTACTTAAATGAGGATGAAATCGAATAGCAACCCGAAATTATCATACTTATGCAAGCCATTTTTTTTTTCTTTCTTCAGCCCAAGATCTAGAGTCCTCATAATCAATGTGTATTTAGTAAAAATGTAACACAAAGGAAGTCAATGATCCATATATTACATATTATATTATAAGTCGGAGACAGTGTAAATGCTGTATAAATCCACTTGCACAGAAGGTGGATGTCCAACTTGAGATTTGGAAATCTTGCCATATCTAGATTTGTTTTCACGTCTAGATTTATGTTGATTTTGAGACTCATAACTAGATTTAGGAAGTTATGTAACAGTGCAATAGTATCTATAAATAGGTTCATTCATGAACCTAAAGAAGACACTTAGAAGCGAAGAAAGAAACATTCCTTTCTAATATTATCATTCTCCTCTATTATTAATCTTAATTACACAGTTCTTGCTATATTGCTTTTATTTCATAACACGTTATCAGCACGAACTCTAATCAACTGAGTTTCATCCGTCCACAAATACGTCCTGTATCCTACTTAAGAAAAGCTGATGAAAGAAAGTCTATGAATCTAAATGGATTCAATTGGCACTGCTGAGAGTATAGCAAAGGTTAGTATGCTTTCTTTAAATTAGCTATCTATACTGGCATAGTTACAAAAGCTACATATCTTTGGGGTGCTTTACTTCCTAATTCTTTATGTTTGCTTATTTTGATTATGGGCAAAACGTAAAATACATTAGTGACTTCTTTATTTCCACTATTAAAGGAATTTTACATTTATACTAACTTGAACATTAAGGAATAGTAAGTTACAGAAACTCAACAAGACAAATTAGTAGTTCAACTGTAAAAGTTGGTTTTCTTATATCAATATCATTCACATATAACTTTGGCATACACAGATTGCATTGATTATATGGGGGGTGCTAAACTTATTAGCCCTTCTCTTTGAAAATTATTCAGGATATATTTTAAATTTTCAATTTTTTCAAGTATAGTTGATAATAACTTTGCTTCTAATTTTAAGTTAACACTTGTGTTTATCCGCATTTACGTTTTTCGCAAAAGTAATGGAATGATACTGCAAATAGGTTAACATATATCTAGGGTGTGGAATATAATTGACAAATAGTACGACACTAGTATAGCTTCATATTTATAAAATGATTATCAGCTATGCTTGGTAATTTTCTGTCGGTCAATTATGAAATATTAAATTAAATATTTACAGTAGTAGACAGTCTTGATCTCGCCAAAGTTCACTAAGCTAAATATGACAGAAGAAGTTGTATTACTTCAAAAAGCTCGTGAAGACATGCTAGAGAGAAATATTCTCTATGTTACATATCTCAGATTTGCTCGGGAAGTAGCAATATTTTAAAAAAGGTTTTAAGACAGAGTTCAGAGTCCTAATGTATGAATAAGATATTGAGTTTAAGTACCAATACATTATAGCTTCAACACACCTTCATGAGGATAAGATGTTGAGTTTGAGTTCCGATGCATCATATTGATGGTATAATAATGATTGAGGCAAAATAATACCCTTTTAATAAAAATTATGACGCTCGTCCCACTAGATCTGTTTCATTCCGCGAATTAAATATGATAGCGAAAGATCAAAAGTCCGAAAGAAGACTAAATAACTATTATAGATGTATAATTTATGTGGACGTGAAAAAGGGAGGAAATAATAATCGTCACGTGGTAATCAATATAAACAAAAGAACAATAAAGGTTCTCAAAATAAGCCCTCAAAAGATGAAGGTAATATTTGCTATTGAAATGGTAAGTCATGAGACACGACCAGATGATTATGGTCCACTCCTTGAAGAGAATGCGACTTGTGATAAGCATTGTAAATAGGACTCATTCCTAGAAGTGAATTAATGTGGCAACATGTAAAAAATTATGAATAAGGACATGCTCATGCATGGTTGGATAAATACCACAACTCACCTAGGTTTGAGAAAAATAAAGAGAATAAATATTATTGTGTGGTTGCATGAATATATCATCAGTCACATACTTATGGTACGACAATATGAATATTTTGTTAGGCTTTATCAAAAATTATTAAAGGCAAAGTTAAAACAAGAAACGAGTATTGCCTATAACGATTTTGACTGTGACAATAATAATATAATTTTCTCTACGGAAGAGATATTCACTATTTGGATGGTGTGATAAAAGATCTTGTAGTACAAAATTAATTGAGAGCTCCGGAAGAGCGAATTTGATAATATCCGGATGAATAAAATTATTAATGGCATTGGTGTTGTAGTTAGTCTCAAAAAGATTTTTTTTTGAGTTTCAAAGATATTAGCCAAAGTGGTTGGCATATTGAGAATGTAAATGAAAGGAAAATTGAATATGTTTATATTACTATAATCATACCGGGTAAATATGAAATGTTACCCGACTTTTCTCCTATTTGTACTACATAAGTGTACGCATGATGATGGAATCACATGCCATAGTAAACTTGAGATTTACTGAAATAAATATCAGTTGACATGATCGGTTGGCCATCCGAGTTCAATTATGATGCGAAAAATGATTGAGAATTCACATTGACATATATTGAAGAATTAAGACATTCTTTAAGAATTCTCTTGTGCTGCTTGTTCTCATGATAAATTGATCATTATACCAACTAAAGTTGGATTAAGTTCCCTGTATATTTGGAACGCATAAAAGATGATATATATATATATATATATATATATATATATATATATATATATGGGGGCTCAGACACGTGTCATGTGGACCATTTGCTATTATGTGATTTTAATAGATGCATCAATAATGTGGTCACACGTGCATTTGTAATCAATTTGCAATTTGACTTTTGTAAGGTTGCTTGCTCAAATTATTAGAGCACAGTTCCAAAGTATAAAATTATGATGATTTATCTTGATGATGTTGGTTTAAATCCAATTTGATTTAGCATATATTGTATGCCTCTAATTATAGCTAAACCATTGGTTATGAGAACAAATCTCCTAAAAAAGAAATTTGGTGTGAGATATGTTATTTAATATGCAACAACACCTGTACGCATCAAGCCAACAAGTTATAATAAATTCTCCCTATCACAATTGGTCCAGGGTTAGAAATTAAATAATTTCTACCTAGAAATTTGACTGTGAGATATATAATTGCTCCACCATAACATACAAAGATGGGTCCCCAAAGAACGTTGGGGATATGTGTTGGCGATCCCAACATTATG